TTAAATCCCGCGAAGAATGAATCGTTTTATCAAAACAACTAAATATTTCTTCAATAATTGGTTCGGTTAGTCCTCGTATTTGATGGTTTGGTTTTATAATCAGACTAGAGGAAGATAAATTTGCAGTAATTTTATTCATTCTCAGATTATTTTTCGCAGGAAACAGAAATGTTTCGGATTTTTACTTCCAGAAATGTTACATGTACGAACATGTAGTGGTAGTACGTAATCACATTAGTATAGTGATCGGCGTAATAATCACCTGATTGGTAAGCAAAATTATTGTCTAACGAACTGATAAATTATTTTTTGTCACTAAATATAATACAGTGAATCTTGTTAAACCGGAGGCGACAAAAGAAGGAAATTTATTGAGATATTCGGTTAAATTTTTTTAAATAAATGAGATATATTAATTATACAAAAAATCTATAGAAAATGAATTCAAGAGGTTATCTATTTTAATGTAAGAAAGAGAAGAAATACATTATGTCTCGTACTGCAAATAGCGTACACCTAATATCGTATGTGCTTTAACGAATATTTACGATGAATAAATTTTTGTAGTTATTTAAATAGTCAAAAAATTATTTCACTTACAAAGATACCATACGACTTTAACAGCATAACAACGACATGAATACCTGAATAAGCATATTTATTTGCCTAAGCGTCTTGATACAAATAATCAAATAATCAGTAATCCAAAATTTGCGAAGAATTAGAGAATAATTTATTGTTTAGATTACTGAAATTGTCATTTGCTATCTCGTAACAAAAAATATTGAATGGTATTTGAAGACAAGTGAATTTGTATAGAACATATCGCTTTTCATTACCAATACGAAAAATTTATGCATTCAGAATTTAGTGAAACTACGTGCGTAGTTTCCCCCTACAAAATATTTCCAAATTTGGGTTTCGGATTTTGAAAGATAGTTTCGCCTGAAACATTACATCAATTATACTATGATGCATAACATCTAAAGTCATCAAACGTTTGTATTTTATAAAATGGATAAACTTCTTTTCTAAGTAAATACAAAATTTAATCGTGAATATGATAGAATATGCCCTTTCTGAGTATATTCATAAATTAAATTTTGTATTTACTTCTTAGTAAAGAAGTTTATCCATTTTATAAAATACAGACGTTTGATGACTTTAGATGCTATGCACCATATATGAACGAAGAAAGAACCAAATTCTTAAAATCGAAGTCTTCCTAAGAAAATTTATCATATCCGTTTCATTTCGCTTTTGTGCAATACGTATAATGTTTCTGAAAAAATTCATTTTATGTGTTGTTGCTAGCTAACTTCAATTGTCTTCCACAAAAAATAAGAAGTCATCATGTGTGTTCACAATTTTTGCATGCACATGTAAAAGTTCGTTGCATGCTACCTTTCTCATCTGTCTGTCCACGAAAAAATACACGTTATTTATAAATCATCTTTCTATAAAACAAATACCATGGCATTTTATTCTTTCTCATATAGTATTTATCAATTTGAATTCGAACTGATACGCTGGAGGACATTCGTGTTGTAGTGGGCATAGGTAAGATGCGATAAAGAATAACAATAATTGATGTCACGAGAAATTTGCGTTCGTATGTACTTAAACTTGGAATTAACTTAATTTTTTGAAAGCTTTCACGTTAATACACTTTCTTCTTCATCTTTACGAAAGAGTTTTGCGTTTGCTCATATTCAAATTTGCGAGGTTATCATTAATGACGATTGGCTCGGAAGGAAAGGACCATTAAAAACTAACACTATTACAATATTATGACAATTTCAAAGATGTTATTGTGTGGGATTCTCAAGCTTTAGTCGGTGAACCTCAGAGGCGTCGAAGGAAAGCTGCGTCACAACCACCAAAAACCATCGAACTTTTTAAGTTGCATTTAGGCAACGCTCCGGAAGAACAAAAAACAAAACGCCCTCCAAATTTTTCTGCAGAAATTATTGTTTATTTAAATTTTCATAGGTAAGGTAAAATTGTGTCTAAATTTGAAGTGTAATATTCAACGGACCTCTTTTATTCATGTCGAATATTATTATTGTAGTCTATTAAAGAAGTTTAACGCCGTTGGCCAAGAATTAATTTCTTTAGCCATGTGCGTTTGGTGGTCACTGTCCCCCCCCCCGCAGGTAATTTTAGATACAAATAATTGTTTCCTTAATATCAAGAAATTTAGCAATTATGACTAATAAATAACTGCATAATTCACCGAAAGTACGAAGACTATCATGAGATAATGCATATATTATGCTAACTTAATTAAAGCGTTGTTACCGATCGTTTACCACGTATTTCTCGTTATTGCAATATTTATCTCGTTTTTTATTTTAGCTGAAGCTGCGGCCCTATATACATAAAGACGCTAAAAGAACAGAACTTGATAACCGAAGGTGTGCACACATGACTACACTTTATGATGATACATTAATTCTAACGTTTATTTTCTAATCAGCATCATATCGGGTCGTTGACTGCGGTGGCGGTACGGTAGATTTAACCGTTCGAAAACTATTAGATGATAATCAGATTGGCGAGGCTACAGGGCATTCCGGCGACTTTTGCGGTAGTACCTATGTAGATAAAGAATTCTCAACTATTTCGAAAGTAAGGTCGGAGAAGATGCAATGCAATTCTACGGGATAAGCGCTACGGCCAATTTCACTATATGATTAATCAATTTTGTGAAGATATCAAGATTTCATTTACCGTGAATCTTCCAATTTTAGGACATACAAATTATATATTGAAAAAATGTCCCGCCTTGAAACAATATGCTAGGGATCAAACTAGAGAAAAGTTGGATGAAGAATGAATAATTGAACTTGATTTTCGAACGCCAAGCGATTTTTCTGTGATGTTTATGGTTGGAGGTTTTAGTGAATCAAAATATCATCAAGCAAAAGTTTAAGAGCTGCATAGTTGTAATTCCATGGCAGCCACATTGCGTGGAGCAGTTGAATATAGATTGAATGAAGATACTATTAAAACTCGTGCATTAAAATGGACGTACAGTGTTGAGATTTCTCTAAAATTTCAGCCAGGTGATCCGCCATCATGTAAAACCTTGAGTGGACGTATTAAGAAATTCCTTTGATGGCCAAAAGAGGAAGTAAATAAAAAATTTTCTATCATATTACAGTAGCTCACTTAAGAAACGGAGCACAGGAAAAAAAATGGCGAAATACGAATATCTTGTCATTTAGGAATTGTACGCAGGTAAAGGTAAGCGGATTTTATTCGTTGTTATTATAATAATTGATATTAACGATTTCTTTTTTTGGAAATTGTTTAAAAAAATAATCAATCTTTTTAAAATTTTTTTAAATCATCCGATTTCGAGGACAATATTTAAAGATATGATTCTTTTTAATAAACTAATAGCAACTAGAAAAAACACAAACTAACAAAATACAATATTACACTATTATTTTGTATAACCACCCTTCACCTTAATAATATCATTTACTCTTTCTGGTATTGAAGCAACCAACCATTCACAGAAGTCTGCTTCGATACCATTCCACATGATCTGGAGCTTCACCCACAAATCGTCTTGCTTGAAAGTGGATCAGGAAGTTGTCATAACCACCAGTCAATCTCATTTCAAAGATTTTCGATGGGCTTAGATTAGGAGATTGGGTCGGCCAATCAAGCAAATTGATCTCATTATCAAGAAACCAGTTTTGCGCTTTCCTTGATACATGTTTAGGATTGTTAGCTTGCTGATAAAAGATTTCTTCTTTATCCAGCCCTTTCGCTAACAGTGAGTCTAATAGATTCTTATTTAACATATTGATAAAGAAATCAGCATTCATTCTTACATCAATTTTTCTGAGTTGTTCCACTCTGTCAGATTTATACAACTCCAAACTATTATTGCATTATCACCAAACTTTATAGTAGGAGTGATATAATAATTGTTTAACAGACTTTATCCAGCAATATTTATAGCTGTCTGATCTAAAAAGCTGGAACTTACTTTTGTCAGATCAAAGAACCAACCACTAATCATTGATTATGAAATCTCAGTATTTTTCATCCAAGTAAGTCAACATTTTTAGTATGTCTTTTTGAGTATCAGCTTTTTGCATTTAGTTTTTGGGTATAGACTATCTCTCTGAAATATTTGCCATATGTTCTCTATAGAAATATCAATTCCAAGATTAAATTTAAGTTTGATTTTTGATCTCTATAGTAATAGAGCACTATTCAATCATTAACAACCAGATAGCATATCTTTCATAGTGGTTGATTAAAAGACGTGAATAATTAATTTCTTTTAGATTATCAAAGATTCCAGTTCTTTCTTTTTTTGCAAATTCATAGGACTGAAGCAAAATCCACCTGCTTTAAAGCAGCAATTTCCTGTACTAAATAATTTTCTTCTTGTAATGTGAATATTCATGAGCATTTTTCTTGAGTGATTCAAGATATTTTTCAAATAAAATATGGTTAGAATTGTTATTTAGAATGGTTAAAAGTAATTTACAAAAATTAAAGTAATAATAAAAGCTTTTATATTTATTTTTTGCTATTTCTAATTACTTATACAAGTCAGTCATATTACGTGAAATACTAAAAAAATTTTAAAAAAATATTAGTATATAAAGGAAATAATAGATGAAAATAAAATTTGCATTAGTTGATATGTATTATTTTAATGAATATAATTCATTTACTTTTATTTTCACATAATTCTTTAATGACAAGATATTCATATCTCGCCAATTTTTTTTGTGTTTCATTTCTTAAGTGAGCTATTATATATTCAATAAAGCTGAATTAAAAAGGTGCGTTAATTAAATTTTTATACAACAGAATTCATGGCAAGCTACTATAATGAATTGAGAATTTAAAGTTGACTTGCTTGATACTCATTTGGAACTTGATAGACCTATATCAGTTCAATTGTATTTTGATAGAAATTTAAACAGATACAAAAAATGAAACTGATAGAAAAAATTATCGCAATACCTTTAGATTAGAATTTTAGATTAATGCATTTCTTATTTGCATTATTCTTCTATTAATGCAATTCTTAAATTTCATTTATTAGATAAATTTTTTAAGTCTATTTAGTACCCTAGCCACGGCAAATCAAAGTGACTGTCACGTGATATAAATCATATTCGATCCAGATCCGGATTAATGATCCAGTTTTATCACGTGATAATATAAGTCAAAATTTAAAAATATTGATTTCAATATTAAATTATTTAAATTTAAAATTAAAAATGATACATAAATTATTTAGTCTTAAATTATATTATTATATTTATTTAGATAAGTATTTTATTATCCATAATTTTGATAAGATTTTTGTTAATTTAAAGAGGAATTTATCTTATTGCTATTAATTCTAGGATAAATAAGTCAAGAATGTTCAGCGTAATAATCTATAAAAGAAAACAATACTTCGAATAAATAGAATTTGATATACTTCACTCCAACTATCATACAGTGCAAATCATAAGTAACCGACCCCCATAACTTTCTGAAAATCATGTCTAATGTTATGAAATTTTCCGGATATAAAGAACATTACAAATGCTGATCGTGATGCCTTTTACAGATTGGTAGAGCTTCTATATCGGGTATTGTATATTCATAAATTTTCATGTTCTAAATACAATAAATTGGTCACTTTAGGATATTATGTCCTAAAGTGACCGATTCTTATTTGTCGATCAATTTTTCATGCCAGAAAAATGAATCGGTCAAATTAGAATGTACGTAATATCTCGATCTCCAGTGATCCGATTTGAACAAAAATAATACATGCGATTTGTCTAATCAAGATGAATCGAATGGTAATATTTTTGTTTGAATCGGATCACTGAGATTGAAATATCACGTCCTAAATTGGCTGTTTCATTTTTGTTAACGTCAAAAAAAAATGAATAGGACGCAATATTTCGACGTCCAGTGATCCGATTTGAACAAAAATATTACCATTTGATTCATCTCGACTAGGCAAATTGAATGAAAGTATTTTTGTTCAAATCGGAGCACTGGATGTCAATAATTAGATTATTGGATATTGAGATGTGTGTTAAGAAATAACTGATTATATTTTGAACTTGAAAGTTTTATGAACATACAATATCCGATATAGAAGCTCTACAAATCTATAAAAGGGGATATGATAAAGCGTTGTACCGACGTGATCAATCACCGGTCAATGCTTTATAAGGTCAGGATAAGGGTTAGGGTAGGACTGGAGTAAAGGTTATATGTAAAATTGTCTTCCCGACCTTTCAAGCTAGGTTTACCCATTCGTTTTCCGTGTTGTTCGCATTATTCGCCTTTTTAATTTTCTTGTGACGGATTTGTTTTGCCGTGTTGATCAAAATTTGTGCATTTTTATTGGTGATCAACAAAATTTGCGCATCATCATTGGATGGATTACCTGAAGGTACGTACAACGCTTTATCGTATCCCTATAAAAGGCACCATGATCAGCATTTGTATCCGGAAAATTTCATAACATTAGACATGATTTTCGGAAAGTTAAAGGGGGGTCGGTTGCTTATGATTTGTACTGTATATCCTTGAGCGTTTGAAATCCTGATTTGATTTAGATTTCATAGATTTTAACCTGTGAATTTAATAATTAATTATTAGTTGAAATAAATCACAAATATTAAATAAGTTATATCCCTTTAGTCATAAAAATCTTACCTCAAATTTCATCACAAAATCTCCCACTATGTTCATTGCTCACGTGATCAGGACAACCGCGAATAACATTGATGACTAGCGACAAGTAGTCAATCAGTACAATGCGAAATCTTAATGTTTTGGTCCAGCAAGCCAGATTCGTGATCATCCAGAAAATTCATGATTATTTCAAAGATTTGTGTTTGGCCGAAATTGGATTTGTCCACATAGTTAGAAGTCAGATAAATTTGTCATTGTCTGGTGGAAGCATGGTTAGTTCGAAAGTAATACGATATGGAATTATCGAAAAATTTGAAAAGGTATATTGAGTGTTAGTGGATTATTTACATGAGAACCTACCATTCAAACGTCTCGTTGTCCAATGGATCTGGAACGGTGAATGTAAAAACAAATGGATCTGGAACGGTGAATGTAAAAACACGTGAATGAATAATTGTTTTATCTTTTGCTAAATACATGTACACGATCAAAAACCCTACTTACCTAATAGTATTTCTAATCGATTAGAGATTCATTACCATTTTTATTATCAGTTTTAAATGGTAACCCATAGTTTACAATTATGAAACAACTCATTGTTGTTATTGTTTTTATTATTATGGATCTATTTAATAGCAATAACAACGTAATCTAAAGTAACTGATAAAATAAAATACGTGATGATTGTAAATCATGTGAATAAACGTAATTACGTATAAAGTGTGACAATAATATGAAATTTTTTCACCAGTGTATATAGTACATAGAAGTCGTGAGATAATTTCAAGAACAGGCATACGTAGTAAATCTGTATCAATATGCTTTTAAATATTTAAGCTCAATGAAATATAAAGAATACCAGTCCATATCTTTAATTATAACATATAAATGTAATGAGTAATTTAAAAAACAATAATTTTTATAAAGCAATCTATAAATTTAATTTCTTATTTCGTAAAGAATGTTTATGCTAATTTTTTAAATAAATAACTTATTATAATAAATGAAATAAAAAAATTTATTTCGGCACCACTTGTAATACTTCATAATCCGTGATGCTAAAATACTCTCCACTGTCAGAACTCAACAAACCATTGTCGTAGGAGCTTTTTCCACAGAAGTATTAAAATCGGGGCCATATAGATATAAATC